CTGTCCCTCAGCTCTTCAGCTCAAGGCTAGCGCTCTAGCCTCAGCGCCACGAGCATGCAAGGCAAGCACTCTAGCACTGAGCCACCTTCCCAGCCCCAGGAAAAAGTATTTTTACTGTTACTGAGAATTGAACTTGGGGCCTCATACTTACCTCTAGTCCTTTTGCTGTTTTCTTTTCCTTTTTTTCTTCCTTTTATTCAGACGGGGCCTCACACACACTCTTCATCAGCATTGGTCTCTGATAACCATCCTTCATCCTTTATCTCCAGACTAGCTGGGATTATAAGTGCCAAGCACGGTGCCAGATTCTAAAATTGTTCATTTCTTCACTTTTCATTCTGCAAACTTGCAGACTTACAAAAAGTTGCAAAAATAGCATTCCCTTTGCCCTTCCTCATCATCTCCAAATGTTCACATCTCACTATCATAGTATAACTTTCAAGACCACAAAAATAACGTTGAAAAATGCATAATCCAAGGAGTTTACTCAATGACCCCACTAACTGGGGTCATTTATCTAATCTAGAATCTCACTTACAATGGACTGTGTTGTTTCCTTATTCCTATCCAATCAGGAACAGCCCTTATGTTTTTCTTTTTCTTTTGTGATCCTGACACTTTCAGAGCGTTGTGGCTAGTTTGTAAAATGTGCTTCTCCTTGCAGTTGCCTGATATTTCCTCTAATTAAACCTAGAGGGTTCCTGTGGGGTCTTCACCTTTGTGTTTTATAGTTCCTAATCATGTGGCTAGCTGAAATGAGTCATTGGGAGGAAAGTTACTTTTGATTACTGGATAAGGGAGAGCCTTGTTGGTTCTAAGACAATGGCTACTGCAACCCCAGGAGCTCTGTTGCCCAGGCATTACAGCCATGCCAATGAGCAGCGTCCCTGGGACACACACAGTGCCCTTCAACCCCCTTCCTCAAAGAGCCATTTTAATGGCTTTCTACTGGCCGGAGCTCACAAGGGTTATCTTCCCCTTTCCTAATCCTGGCCAAGAATTGTCTGATTACACTCAACTGAGTTAGTACCTTTCAAGGTCATGCCTTTTCCCTTGATCAGTCCCCCAATCCTTAATCCCCTAGAATCTATTATCTCTGCTTTTATAGATATGAAAATCAAGTGTGGACAGTCCAGATAAATCCCAGGAGGTTAATATTATCCTTAGCATTCCCTTTGGATAGAATTTAAACTGAGTTCCTGGTGTCTACTGATTTGGCAGAAGTCAGTTAAGGATGGAGAGATCAACTTGCTTAACCATTGGTCCCCAAACTGGTCATAAGTTATCATTCCTAGGATATGTGTGTGGTAGGGGGTTCAGAGGGGAGTGAGTCCTGAAACTTGCTCTGGTCTAGCTTCAGTCTCAGAGACTCTGACTTCAATGTTCTTCGTGTATGTATGTTTTTTTTTCCCCCGTGGATGTGTATGTATGTGACCCATGGGTCAATTTTTAGAGGGAATTGGTTGCTTTAGAGCTTCTAATTTCTATTAGTCAATTAGCATATTTTACCTAACCAATACCAATACCAACATCCAGATCAAAACACGTAAACAGAACCACATAGAAGGTGCTGATAAAGCAGACATTCACTGTGGCTCCCATCTGTAGAGCACTTCCAATGCACTCAGGGAGTCAGACTGATGTTAGTCAATGAATGAAAATATAAAATGACACTAGGTGTGTCAAGGCGAGGGGACAGGCAGTGTGAGCTCCCGAGGGCTAAGCTCCTGCCTCTCAGTACAAGTGATAAGAGACCACAGTTCACCTCCTCTCTGTAGAAAAGGCATGGAAGGTCTTCATTTCCTTGAAATCAACTTTACCTTTGAAAAGCATCTATTGCTTGTCTTCTATGGCTTTTAGCAGGTCATCTAACTTGCTATTTCTCTCTGTTGGGCACAATTGCCCTCAATCTGAAGGGTTCCACCCTGGAAGGACAAAGGACAAGAAGGCATTGTCTAAAACACAATTTTGATCTTGAAAACCGGATTCAGACTTGCTCATTATGGCCAATCTAACTTGAATGTTAAATGCTTATTTAATTGCAGCTTATCTACTTTAGATTTAAATGAAAAGGAGTTTAATTCCTAGAGTCATCTATTGTGCAATGCGCTCTGTTAATCTTATAGAAGCAGAGAGATCTTGCCCCTGGTAATTTCATAAAGCTTCTTTTTTTCACCTTTAATTTTAATGGCCTGTGAAAGTCTATTGTATTATAGTCTAACTCCCTTTCTCATGTCAGGAATCCCAATTTTGTGGCTGTGTTCTGTCAGAATCTTTCAAGTGCTATTCTCCATTTTTGCTCTGAACTGAGTGTCTCTTTAAGAGTATGATGTAGTAATTCTAAGTACTGTCATAGTGATACATCTTTTATTGTCCTGCTTGGAATCTTAGACATTATCTTTCCTCTCCTTAGATTCAAAGTTTGCTGCTTTCTCTCTTACCAATGATAATTACAATATGGAAAATGTTAGTGTTCACACATGTTATTTTTTTGCCTTAACTTGCCTAAGACAAAAAACACATCTAGCTCACTGGAAGGAAATCAGAATTTGCTTTCTTACCTGGAATGGGTAACAGTGATTTACAAGTAGCAAATACATTTGAAGGCAATTATTTAAATTGTATTGTAGAAGAGAGAAGCGTTGGCTGATAAAATGAGAGGGGTTGAATACAGCTCTGTATCTACAATGATAATCCTGATATATTAGAATTAAATAACCCTGCCATTGTACATAGGAAGAATTTAAATGAATAAATGTCTGTGACTTCCAAATGCCCAGCTTTCAAAGACCTTTTTGATTTGAGTCTGATGTAGTTGTGGTGACAATTTTAAAATCTGGAAGGGAAAGGGAGATAAATAATAGGATACTGAGGACAATTGCTTTTTAATCTTCTGAATTCTTGAGTGTTTATGAATTTCACTTTTGTATTTAGCAGTCAAAATTAGGATTGGATTTGTCATTGGAGCTATTTGTACAAAAGCAAAAGGAAAATGAAAAAGACAATGGCAGAAATAAAAACAGAATGAGCTGGATGCTCCTGGATGCTGAGGAAATACACAGTGTCACGTGTGAGGTTCCTGCTCCCTCCCCCAGCCTCAGGATCACAGCTTGGGCTTAGAGAATAGTAGAAGGACAGAGACAAAGACTCTTGTCTACTCACTCATTCTCTAGAGTATAGGTTCCGGAAGCTGGCTGATGTTTAGAATCTCCTGTGGAGGTTAAGAAAATAAAACTACAGATCCCCAAACCTAAACTTAGACATACTAAATTACCTTGGGGAAAGGGTCCTGAAATTTTGTGTACTAAAGAATTTTATGAAGCCAGGTGCTGGTGGCTTAAACCTGTAACCCTAGCTACTCAGGAGGATGAGATCTGAGGACTGCGGTTCAAAGCCAGCCTAGGCAGGAAAGTCTGTAAGACTCTTATCTCCAAATAATCACAGAAAAAGCTGTAAGTGGTGCTAAAGCTCAAGTGGTAGAGTGCTAGCCTTAAGCAAAAGGAGCTTAGGGACAGCACCCGGGCCCAGGATTAGAAAACAAACAAATAAAAAACCTAACAACAAAAAAATCCATGACTTTTATGAGTGCTTTGACAATGAGGCAACTTTGATAGCTACTACCTTAGAGGATTTTTAGCAAGTCTTGTAGATGAGGGATCATTGATTTAATAAAAACACATCTAGGTGGCCTCTTTGTAATTAATTGTGTGGATGTACACATAGGATTTCCATCTCTTTGTTGCTGAGCCATTAAGTTTCTCTAGTAATGAGAAATGAGAATTGCCTGTCAAGAAGTGTATTGTCCTCATCTTCTGCAGTTCCTTCTGTAAACGGGCACCCAAGCACAGCAAAACCCATGATGGCGTAGAAGTCAGACATTTTCTGCCTTAACTATTAAATAGAACTGGAAGTCAATATTACTTTTAAACTATTCAGTTTTATGGGATGGCAATCAGATACATTTCACATGTTTTAAGACAATCTTATGATATGATAGAAAGAACAGCTTTCTAGTGAGGCAGACTAGCTTCAAATCCTTATTCTACAAATTAGTGATATAAATTTAGGTAAGATGGATCTTCTTTCTCTTTACTTTTCTTATTGTTGTGGTATAAAATACCCAATGTATAGCATCTTTTTGAGGATTAACTGGAATACATATAAAGATATATGTATATGTATGTATATATGTATCTATTTATATGTATGTATAAGTATATGTGTATGTGTATATCTAAAATGTATCCATCCTCAATTAGATGAACAAATGAAAGCTCTTCCTTTTCATTCTTACCATTCTGTTTCAGCCCCTCTTTTTTCAGTTGTTTACAATATTATGAAAAACAGTAAAAACAGCAA